CAATAATTAGTATTTAATAAATGTTTTACTAATATTTTTAAATTTAATACTTAAATAAATTACTTGTAATTTTGTTTTTGTCTTATATTCAGCTTATATTTCGACTATTCTTTGAATATCTATAGGCCAATCTGTCAGTCATATGTAAAGCCAAACCTATTTCAGGAGAGGGAAGAAAAGAATAGGTAGGAGAATTAATATGAGCCCAGAGAAAGAAGAACTGGATTCACCAACATTCCCCTCTCCAGAGTCACTGCTTTAGAGATATTGCATGTCAGTAGGGGCCTCTCTGGTGGAAAAAAAAAAAAAAAAGACTCCTGCAAAACAAATTTAGGAATTAGTTCATCAGGAACAGGGAAGGGAAGAAAAGACTATGTAGAATTCTGAATAGTGGTAGAGGGTACATAGATGAAGTCTTGGGCTCTTAGAGCTCTTCCAGGTAGTGCTGGCTGGGAAGGGAAGTCTGGCAGGGGTTCCACTTCACCTGCAATGGAAAGGATGGGCACATAAAGCCCATGGGGTACTCTGGACAGAGAGACTATAATGGGGATTAGGAAGGGAAACCCTAAATATAAACTTTACTTGTTAACCTCCTTATAGTCTTGTTCTGAACTTGCCTAGTACCAGATATGGCTTTCCCTCTCTTCTTGCTTCTACCCTTCTCCCTCAGAAACTCCTTGGCTGAGTTAATGAAGGAGACCACTTCTAATAAACCTTAACCAATGACCCTCGGATTATCAACAGAGGACCACCCTCAGTGAGAGTGTATATTCTAATGGCATTGATAGTTAAAACCTGTGTAGAGAGAAGAGGGAAGCCAAGATGTGGTTTCACTAGATATCACATAGCTCACCCTCATTTTAGAAAGACATGAGACCAGTGTTCTCACAGCAGTTTTTCCTTTACCATCAGTCATTTGTTTCTGGAAAGTATGTTTTTCTTCCAGATCAAGGAGTATAAATATCATGGGATATGGCATTGGATAAGGGTCTTGGTTCATTTATATGCTGTAAACTTCAGGAAAATCACTTTTTCTCTCCAATGTGGGAAAAGATATAATATTTACCATATCATTGTCAATAAGGAGATTCAGATGAGATTTAATATTCACTCACATGTGTATTATATATTTAAATATAGTACCTTTATTGTTCTAAAGCAACAAAGAATTTTCCCTATGACCAAATTATTTCAAAGACTACAACTTACAGGTAAGAGTCAGAACCACATGTGTTCTAATGGCTCTTCTGCTTCCCATGTGAACATTTCCCTACTCAGCACCTTGATTTTTCCTCCTATGAAATAGGCAAGAATAGTAGTTATCCTGGAGAAGAAACTTATCTGGAGAAAAAAAAATATGCACAGTAGACATAGGGTGAGTGACTACTATTATGCAATTTCCAAAACTACCTATTTCTTTTCTTGTTTTTATTTTTATTTATATATGACAGTGGAATGCATTACAATTCTTATTACACATATAGAGCACAATTTTTTTTATATCTCTGGTTGTATACAAAGTATATTCACACCAATTCGTGTCTTCATGCCTGTACTTTGGATAATAATGATCATCACATTCCACCATCATTTCTACCCCCATGCCCTCTCTGTTTCATTTCTTTCAGAGGAATTTATATTGTCACAATAGTTTATTTTTGGTGCCATGCTTGAACATGGGATATGTAGTTGAAAGAAATGATTTGGTTGTCACATGATGTTGCTGCTTGCAACATGATTTTATCCCTAAAGTGGAGGAATAATGTTACCTACCTCACAAGGTTGTAATGAGGTTTTTGTTTATTCTTTTTTTTGAACCAAGGGGCACTTTACCACTGAGCTACATTCCCATCCCTTTTAATTTATTATTTTGAAACAGGATCTAAGTTGCTGAGGCTGGTCTCAAACTTGAGATCCTCCTGTCTCAGCCTCCCAAGTCACTGGGATTACAGATGTGTACCACCATGCCCAGTTTATTTATTTACTCTTTGCAGTTTTGGGGCTTGAACCTAGGGTCTCACACAAGCCAGGCAAGCACTATGCCACTGAGCTACATATATGCTCCCCCCGCCACCCCCGCTGCTCCTTAAAGGGGATATTTAGATAGGATATTGAGCATGTTGTTTGGCACCTGAAGGTGCTCAGTGAATGTTAGTTTTCTTCCCCTAGCCTCTTCATTCATCCTCATCAAGTAACATTTATCAGAAATTCTAAGTAAGGCATGGCAGTGGATGCTTTAACTCTGAATGAAGGGGTGCTAAGGGAATGTCAGGTTGGGGTAGAGTGCTACAGAAGCCAGTATTGTTTGTTTGTTTTGTAATAATCAATAATGGCTTCTCCTTTTCTAACCCTGGGCTCTGGCCTGCTGAGTCACTGTTCCAGCCCGAAGCCCCTGATCTTTGCCTGTGTCTATGGAATACAGCAAAACCCACAAGAAACCAGCACTAATAAATGGCAAATCATTTGAGGGATTTTTGTTTGCATTCCTGTGCTTGCTCTCCTGGGGAGATAGGAAACCTTTAATAAGACTTTTCCGAAATAATGCTCCATGCAAAATGGGGATTTTTTTTTTCCCCTCTGTGTTCTTCTAACAAATGGCCATTTCATGAGGTTTCTTTTCATTTTTTCTTCTTCTTTCCTGCTTCTCAGTACATTCCACAAAGAGCTTATTCCTCTGCTGGTTACTGATTGATGGTTCTACTCTATGTGCCCTCTAATTTTGCAATAAACCAACAAGAAGTTAAGACCACAAACTTAAAAGAGAATTGACTTATTTATTTGACTGGATTCACTGGAGCAACAGCCAGATTTAGTCATTTCAGTGTGGTCCTAGGGAGGGCAGGAGGAGTCCACGAGCAGAAAAAGAGTTTGCCTGTCCTCCCTGTTTCAAAGCAGCTGGGCATCTGTTCTCAGCAGTGATCCCTTTCTAGACCTTGATGGAAACAGGAAGTCCACAAGACTTGCTCATAGTTCCAGGATTCTGGGTTCCATAGGACTTTAGCTGCATACAAATGGACAGTCACTACCCTACAGGTTCTGGTCCCTTTTTTTTTTTTTTTCAAGAGGATCATGTGTACCTTAAAGGATTACAGAAGCAGTCATAACCTTCCACTATCACCAGTTCTTTCACGCCTGGACTCTTGGCTAGATGACTTCAAACACCAATGACAAACGTCTCTTCCTACTTGCTCAGTCCCAGCTATGTCTTTATCTTAAGGATGAGATACTCCACAGGATCAGAGAGAGGCATACTTCATGTGTTGATTTTCAAACATGCTAAGAATCAATCAATTTTTTTTCTTATTTAGCACTGCCATTGTGCATAGTAACCAGTCTGAAAAATACAAATGTCATTTCAAGTAGAAATGAGAACAAACATAAATGGTTCAAGTGGATCCTAAATTAACGAAAGTTCTTTAAAAACATACATACTATTACTATTTATACTTAAAGATTGTTCCATATTCAGTGCTGCTCTCTATAGGTTGAAGCAAAGCTAGAAAGACAAATGCCCAAATGTAATTTGTCCCAACTGTGAACTCCTATTACAGATCCCAGCGTTGTTTGTGGCTCTACCACATTTAACCAGCTAACTGCCTATTCTTATATGGCAACTTTTCTTTGGAAACTCTCATCATCACATTTTAGCAGAAGTGAAAATATTAGCAGAGTGGTTAGTGGCCAAGCCAGGAATAGAATCCAGGAATCTGTGTCCTTTCCTTTGCCATATCTACCAGAGCATGGTTCCTCCCCAGCCTGTGAACTCAATGTTTCCATCTCTACCGACCAGAATTCACAGTACATTCCACAAAGCAGTTGACTGGTTTCTTCTTGGTACTGAAAATTTGTTTTATTCTTAAACATTTTTTACATTTTCCCATTAAATGTCATTTTGCATTAAACAACATGGGTCTTGGTAAATTTAATATAAGCAAATGCTTTACTCTGAGGATATTAATCAACAAATATACATGAGGCCATGAATTTGGGGGGCGGGGGTATCAGGGATTGAACTCTGGGGCACTGGATCACTGAGCCACATCCCCAGCCCTATTTTGCATTTTCTTTAGAGACAGGGTCTCACTGAGTTGGTTAGCACCTTACTTTTGCTGAGGGTGGCTTTGAACTCGAGATCCTCCTATCTCATCCTCCCAAGTCAAGGCCATGAATTTTGATGTTGAGAACCTTTTATGAGGTAAATCAGTATAGATTAGAAAGACAGACCTGGTCTGAATCTAGCTGTCCCACATGCTTACTGTTTGATCTCAGAAAACTACTCAACTTCTTTGAACCTGTCTCCTCATCTTTAAAACTAGGGTAGTAATGTTTATCTCACTGAGTTATGAGGATGACATGTGTGAAGCACTTGGTACAGGGTCTGATTCATAGGAAGTGCTCAATCAATGCTGGTTTCCCTTCTCTTTTCTCCTCTAGAATGGGGTCAGGGTTTCAGAAAAACATAAAATCTCATGATGTTTACACTGTAGGTAGAGAGCGAAGAATAACGCATATCACATAATCAGAGAAAAATACTTGAAGTAGATTACTTGATATTAGGAAATGAAGGACTTGTTGGGGCTAGGAAAATTCCATGATGGGGTGGAATTTGAACTGACTCCTGAAAGATGGAAACTTAAGAGGGAAGGGGGATAGTCCAGACTGGAACATTTGGGATGGGGATGAGAATCAGAGGAAGTGAACCATGAAAAATACAGCAGTTAGAATGAGAATGTCAGAAGAAAGGTAATACTTGTTAGGTACTTACTAGGCATCAGACACTGTCTTAATTACTTTATGTGCCAACTCATTCCCCCTCACAATGGGCATGTTTGCTATCTTTAATGGACAGTTGAAACTGAGGCATGGAGAGATTAAGTACTCTACCTGAGCAGGTGTAGAATAGGTGTTCTGTAGCTATTAGGTGATGGATCTGAGATAGGAACCTAGAACTCGTAACACAACTGCTACTTCAGTTAGCTCCCAATTTCCCTTACCTGCTAGTGAGGACAGCTAAGACCCTTCTGTGAATAAACTCTTTAAATATAAAGTACCATGATGTCATTATTCCTGTTAATGATGTCAGATGAGAGGTAACAAATAGTCACCTGAAAAGGAGGGAGAGAAAAGTTCAGGATAGCACCTAGTGAATATGTATGTACTATATGTGCCTCACCATTCCCTCTAGCAACTCTGAGACCTCATACAGCCTCACATTTCCTCTTGGGCAGTGCTCCAAGTGGCCATGTCCAAGCCACTGGAATGGGTATCAGAGACTAAAATTGTATTTGTCACCTGGCATTGAGGCTCAATTGAGTTGTACCCATGGTCAGGACACCCATTTTAATGGGCCTGTAGCATGTGATTTGTAGTTGGCCTATTGGTGACCATGATGGAAGATCTCCATCCATTGCAAGGACCTCACTATGAAAGGAAGTCTGCCCCTACTCACCAGGTAAATATTTGGCCATTTAATGTATTTGTTCTGGACCTATGCTTATTGTGTCTCTTCTATGTTGACTCTGTTTCATTGTAAGTTATTATTGTTTGTATTGATGTCATTTATTTAAATATGGACACAGCATTATTTCAACTCCTCCCCCCCTTTAAAAATAACACTTATACAACATTCCTTTCTTGAGGACATCAAATAAGTAATTTTTGCCTAAGAGTATATTTGTTGAGGCTGCTGACTTGGGAATTTGTTCCTAGGCAGACCTTTTGGCCTCCTTTTGAACAGGTACTGAATGACCTTTGTTCCTACTTTATACCCCAGAGTCACTGTAGAGATAGAATTGATTGTACCTGTCCAGTCAGTAAGTTTGGAGAGCCCTTGGTGGCCAGGATGCTATTCATGCTGGTGGCATAGAGATACAAAGAGGCAGACTAATATGGGCTCACCCCCCACAGGAGTTTTCTTAGAGGCTGTGTGAGACCAGAGGCTCCTCTGAGCTCTGGCTCCTGTCTGTTATAAGCCACTGTAAGTGTAGCTGGGACTGGTGGAGATCAGAGCTGGTGTTTATCAATGTGGACTCCCCCAAAAGCTGTATTTTCAGACCCTCAGTGAGCAAGTGACTCAACAGAACTATTTTCTGGGTCTCAAATGAGTCTAAGAAGGGGAAATTGGTTAATACCAGTCGTCTGTGATGGCCTGATCACAAAGCAGTGTCTTTCTAATCCTTCTTACAAATCAAAGGGAGGGGAATCCCCAGAGCCCAGGCGTACACGTGAATAGAAAGCACCACCAAGTAAAAAAAAAAAAAAAAACCACCTAAAAAGGTCAGCAGAAACTCAGGGGGCTGTTGGAAATTCACCTCCCCTACCTTTCTGTAGGGCTCAGTGGGCAGGGGTGAGGGAGTGGGTGAAGACAACCAAACAAACTTCGGGCAAAAGCAAGCTGGCCACAAAAAATGCACAGTGCAGCTGGTAGGAAAGTTTCTTCCACGTCCGTGTGAACCTCAGAGTCATCTGACAATGTCTTGTTCTTTTTCATGCCCTGGCTGGCCAAAGGCTGTCTTGGCCCCATGCTAACTGCAAAATTGCACACAGTTGGCAAATGCCCCATTGGAAGCCACTGTAGCTGCCCTGTCGCAGTTCACCAACTGTGCGTGTTATTTCCTGCAGCCGGCCCAAGACCACTGAAGCGATGAGGCCACAGGGTTGGGCTGACAGCGGAAATAGCTCACTGCTTGTGGCCTCCTCCCAACTGTCGGCCCCTCTGAGTCTCAGAACTAACACGTGCTAACCTCAGCCCACTGTGGCCAGGGAAACAGCACACCAACAGTGGAACCAGAACCCTCCATGCCCATGGCTACTATACCACAGCCATTGGCCCGGGTTTCCCCCTTGAATGCGCACCCAGGAGAAGTAGGCCAAAGAGAAAGCCTCCCTATTGTGCTGCACAGTTACTTGCCCTAGCGATGCGTTCATGTTGACCATATGGCAGAAATAGCCCTACTTCAGTGCATTCCCTGGGAAATCAGTGGTCAGGAGAGGTGGCTGCCATGGAGTGGAAGGAGTACTGTTACTAGTCCCTTTGTGACTGGGTGAGTGTGTGTGTAGAACTCTGATCCTTTTCCCTTCCTCCAGCTACATTGCCTCAAACCAAGCCACCCTATTCTTCAGGGACTCTCCTAGGCAGTGCACCTCTCTAGCTTTACCTGTGGCTGTCAGAGTGATAACTACAGAAGAGGTTTCTCCTCCATTAACAAGGAGAGGCATGAATTTTATTCAGATTGAAAAAATTCTCACCATAAACACATATTATGTTAGGGTGTCTTCCTTACCCTTTTCCCCTCCTCTTTGCCTCAGCCGCTGCCAGTCCGTTCTGGGTAGGATGGTTTTCTTAAGGCTGGAGATGGTGAGAGTCAATAACAATGGTGGAATTTTGAGTACAACACTAGTACTAATGTGAGTGAAAATAGGAAACTTTTTTTTGTAGCCTGTTATATTAACAATTAATACATTAATTTCCTTTTCATCTCCTTCAGACTGAACAGAACTGCACAGCAGGTTACCGTCAGAACCAGAAATAAAAGATAGGCTGCCCAACACCCATACCTGTGTTTTCCTAAAGCCGAATTGAAGTTTGTTCTTTTTATTACAAATATTTCTAAAGGAAAATCTCCACAGCCTTTTAGATTTTCCCAGAAAACAATTGTGCAGTCACTCAAAATGGAAATAGCAGGCTGGAATACTTAAACCTTATCAGTTCTTTTTTCTAAAACTGACAACGATATTCTGTAATCAGAAACAGAAAAAAAAATTATTTTCATCATGAAATAACTCATAATTTTCCAGAGCTCAGCAAAACTAAGCCAGAGAATAGTAAAACCAGATTTGTTTTTATCTTGCTCGAATTCCAGAATATTTGGTCTGACTTTTCCTCACAACAAATACTGAATGTCTTTTTCCAGAGCTCAAGTGGGCAGGAAGGGAGTGGGCCTGGGAGGGGCTGAGTCTGGGAGTGTAGCCCTCAAGCCTTCTTGGGGGGCCTTTTCTTCTCTTCCCCTTGGCCTCTCACCCAACCTGCTTTCCTTCTTCACTCCCTCCAATCCCCCTCACTGTGGCTCTCTAGTAGCAGACGGGTTGGGTGGACACCGTCATGGTTGGAAAGCAAGAGGAGAGCATGGTGAAAACCACTCCAGGGTCTTTCTCTCAAGCCTCGGCGATGAAAGGATTCAATGAACCTGAACAGTTTCTCACAGGAAAGTTCCGGCCTCTGTCTCCTTAAAAGCAAAGCATTCAGCAACCCATAACTGAGCCAGGATTAAAACTCAGAATTTCTGACTTACCCAAGTCTGCTGTTTAGATAGAGAAGCTAGGTCACTGTCATATCTGGCAATTAGCATCACTTTAGAAACCAAAAGTAACATTTTTAGAACAGTGCCTGAAACCCATAGAGCATTTTTAGTATTAAAATAAAGAAAGATTAAATGTGCCTTCAGAATTGATAAAAGGCAGTACCTCATCATTTTGAAAGCACTAGGCTGAGCCCCAGTCGGATGGTGAGTAGAGTCAGCACCCACATTCTCTTCTCATTGCTCTTTCTGGATAAGCTGACCTGCTTATCCAGTGGGCTGCCAGTTTACCTGGGAGTGGAAGTTTCAAGATAATCATTGCACATAGCCCTGCTGGCCCAGTTAAAGTGATTTTTTAAAGTTCTCTATTATGTTAGATTGTGGCCTTTTTTTTTTTGATGGGGGGAGGGCAGGGAGTAGGCAGGAGGAGGAAGTAGATGTTCTTATGGGCACAGAAATGCCCCTGAGCTGTCTCAGGTTGCCCCATGGTTCTACTCACCAGCCAGCCCCTTGAATTCGGTTGCAAAGACATGAGTTTCACAAAGAGCTTTTGTTTCCAAGCTTCCTGTGACCTCAGAAATGACAAACTACATGTACTGAGGCCATTGAAGACCACCAGGAAGTTTGAGAAAATTTCTGTAGACTCATTCCATACCTGAACTTCATAGGAGTGGAAGCTATTTACCTACTTGGCTTATGGTTGTTTCTTAGCATCCCAAAGTTGGGCTTATTATGACTTAACATTTTGACAATCTTGTAGTGTATTTTGGACATAGGTTCATAATTTTATAGATTGAATTCTCTAGGCCAAGACCTCAACATCTAGAGAAGGTACCTGTTAGTGGATCTGTACTGAGAACTCTTCTCTCCCCACCCTTAGGAAGGAGAGTTAAGCAGGAGGCCTGCAGCCCCTTTTCTTATCCGAGCTATTGATTTCAGGCAGGTGACTAGTTCGAATCAGTGAAGGTGATCTGTCCCCCAGAAAGCTAAACGATGGTGTTTGTCATATTCACGGGTCCTTAAAAGAATCTGACTTGTAAATATTTAGTTATTGTTCCAATGACCATGAATATTTCTGCTGACCAAACAGGACCAGATATCACATTCCAATCTATTCTATGCCTGATCAACCATAAACTCCCTCTTCTCTGTCACCTTAAAGTCAAGTAAAAGGAACTTCTTCCATCAAAGGCTATGCTTTAGGCTTGGCAATTCCTCACTCTGTTCTCTCCAAGGCAGTCTAATTTTCTCTTCTGTCCAACATACTAAATGGCTACTCATGGAATCCCCATCACCCCTTCAATGTAGGGTGGATCATACTAGATGCATACAGTTGCCTATTAAGGCCAAATGTATTCTGAGCAGTAAGCAGTAAGCTCAAGCACTGTGTGGGTATCACCTAGATATAGTCTTGTTACAGCATAACTGAAGAAAGATGGGTCAACTGAAGGCAGACAGTCTGTACCAGACACATATACTAGTGGAAAGTCAGCCTGAATTGTCCAGTCCTGACTCTTAAGGCTGATGACCAGCTCATTCTACTCAAAGTTTTGTTGTCTTAAAGCTGCCTTTTTAATCCCTGGTGAAAATGACTCTCATTTTTTGTTTGTTTGTGTGTTAGTTGGTTTTTCATGCTCAGGACCCTCTGCTTTCTGACCAAAACCACCTTGATTTCCCAGCAATCTGCCTTATCAGTTTACTTCAGCTTTAACTGGTTCTTGTCTTTCCATCTGTTTTCTCTACCTTACAAGTTCTTCCAAGACCTATTGCATTGTTTATGAATCTGTGCCCTGAATTGCATTTTTTAAAAAGAGATTTTAACTGTTTCCTTAAATTAAGGAATAAGCATTGTACAACAGCGCACAGAAGGACTGAATAAGATGCATTTAGAGAAGGTAGGAAATGCCAAGGGAAATGTGGAACCCAGGGACGTGCTCTTTGAAGGCAGAAATCTTCTCCCATTTTGCCTTGGGAGGGACTCGAGGTCTATATGTCCTTATATGAAAGGCCATTTCATATACAAATGTATCTCATTAAGCATCTGAAACCTGAGAAGGCAGTGTGAGGAAGACTTGGGAATAAGTTGTCTCTCCATTAAAAGCTGAGTTGAAATCTATACAATTTATAAGCCTTCTTATTCTCCCCAGTAAAGTGGATGGTATTCTTCCTGGCAAGTAAACTTTAAGCTAGATTCTGTCTCCTATTATACAGATATACTGTATAATCCTAGTTTCAGATTATACAATATATCGTTCCCTTTGTCCATCTATTCTACTCTGTCTTTGGGTTTACAGTTGATGGTAATGAGGTTATGTTATGTTTTTAATTAGCCATTCTTTTCAGGGAATAGCAGATGCACTGTCAAAGTTTTGTTGCTTTTGAGGATATAAGCAGCAAATATTTGTTCTTTGTCAACTGTGAGCTATATGTTGTACAAAGATTTTTATTCTTAAGCTTTTTTTTTTTTTTACTGATAATAAAAACATAAAAGTAGTACATTTTAATGAGGTACCATATAATGTTGAGAATCAGGCTTCTGAACAACCAAGACACGAATCAGCAAAGGATAACTAATGACAACAATGGGGATGACAACGAGCCACGCACTATGCCAAGGACTGTAAACACATTATCCAGTTTAATCCTCAAAACTCTGTGAGTTAAGTGTTATCACACCCTCAGAGGTCATGAAACTTACCTGGTGTCACTCAGTTAGGAAGCGGTAGAGTCCAGCATCTCCACACAGGTCTGTCTGATTTCAAAGCCCTTGTCCCAGCCACTGCAAACTGCTTTTGCACAAGTTTAGCAATAGAAGCCCTGATCTTTCCAATGGAACAAAGAAAGCATAGGAAAGCCCCTCTGAGGTGTCAGAACTCATTTTCAGAAACCAGATAGTGCTGAGACTCTGTTTATAACTTGTAATCTTATTTTATAAGTTATTTTAAGAGCATAGTTTTCATGTCTCTAGAATGCCTCAGAGGAAAACACATCTGTAGGCTTCTGCCCAAGTCTTGATTATTTGTAATCAATGCTTTTGGAAATGTTTCCATTCTATCATTTTGCTGAACACAGATTCAGAAAACCACACAATTCAGTAAGATGATGTGATTAGCAAACCCCTGAGGTCTGATGCCATATATTCCTTCAGTGATTTGGCTTTAAGACTCATAATAAAAAGGGAGAAGATGATTAACAGAACCACTTATTAGCTCTTATTAGCAGTTTTTTTTTTTTTTTTTTTTGCTACGGGAGAGTAAAAATGTTTTCTTGTCTTCTACTCTTCCATTGCAAGTGGAAATGAGGGAAGTTTTCTTTCTTTCATTTTCAAAGGTGCTAGGGATAAACCCTTGATTCATGCTAGGCAAGTGCTCTGTCACTGAGCTTTCCCCCATCCCCCAGCCCAGTGGGTATTTTTGAAATCAGCTATAGTTTGTTTTAGGTTCCACAGGGCATCATGTCATTAGTTCTATACCACAAAACAATCATCTTAGTATAAGTTTCCATTATAGGACCAAAATTGTGAAAAAGTGATCTAAATATTCTAATCAATGCCTTATCACTTAATTTATAAATTTCTATGGAAGACATGTAGTACCTTTACCTCTTAATGTCCTCCATGTGTATGATAACATGCTTTACTTTGCATAGTAAGTACCATACTCAGTAATTGCTTTTCTTACACTGTTACCAAACTGGAGTTCCTAGTCATTCTTATCAAGCCATCATTGAGAAGAATACCATAAAATTAAACCTTACATATTTAGAAACTCTCAGAAGTTTCTCTCTTTCTCTCTCTCTCTCTTTCTTTTTTCTTTTTTTTTTTTTAATTAGAACAGACAGATACATTATTTTGTTTCTTGGTAAATAAAGCACATAGTATTTTCAGAGCAGTGCCAGAATCTTACTGGTCTTGCTTTAACTGATTACTTTTTTTTTTTCCTACTGTGGGCTTTTTAAAAATAGTTTTTAGTTGTCCTTGGACCTTTATATTATTTATTTGTTTGTTTGTTTATATGCAGTGCCTCACATATGCTAGGCAAGTGCTCTACCACTGAGATACAACCCCAGTCCTCCTGCTGTGGTTTTTACACAGATTCTTTGCAATTAAATAAAACTTAGAGCCATCTGTGGCGGTGTACACCTATAATTCTAGGAGGCTGAGACAGGAGGATTACAAGTTCAAAACCAACCTCAGCGACTTAGGGAGGCCCTAAGGACTTAGCAAGACACTGTCTCAAAATAAAACATAAAAAAAGGACTGGAGATGTTGCTCAGTGGTTAAGCAACATGGGTTTTATCCCTGGTACTAAATGAGTAAATAAATAAATAAATGCTTAGAAGGACCAAAACTGGTAGAAATGAGGGCTGGGATGTAGCTCAGTGGTGGAGTGTTTGCTTAGCATGTGTGAGGTGCTGTGTTCAGTCTCCAGCACTGAAAAAAAAAAATGGTAAAAATGATCAGGTACCAAATTATTTCCTGATATAGGAAATTGTGATTTAGTGTTCTATTGCTAGACCCAGTTGTCTGAAGCATGTGGCATGTACTAATTTATTAGGCCAGATGTCATCATTTTGCAGTAAATAACAAGAGTTTCTATTTATTTGAAATTTACTAAGTACCAGACACTGTGTCAAGCACCTTATGTTGATTATCTCTCTTCTCATAACAGTTCTATAAGATTTATATTATTTTATCTGCTCAAATGGAGGAACTCACAGGTTTTGTAACTTTCCCAAGGTCCTCAGTATCGGAGTCAGAATTTGAACCCAGTTTTGTTGAATTCCAAAGCCCATACCCTTGTTATAAAGAGAGATGAACACAATTCCTTATTCATCCTCTTGAATATGAATAGTTGTTTCTTAAAAGATCAGGCTGTTTGAACATTTCCAGGCATCTTAACTGAAGACATATTTCTTCTGTGATTCTTACTAGTTTAGATGAAAGATAGCTGTCCAAAAGAATACAAGAGGTGAGATGAGCAAACACAAAGTGGAATCCCATAGTACCTGATCAGCTCTGCAGAGTAACTGGAGACTCATGAGTCTCCTTGACACATGAAGACCTCAGAGTTTGTCTCTGCTAATAGACATTTCTTAACCTTACCTTGCCATCTTGTTCTTCTCTCAACCCTCAGTTAAACTGCCATTGGTATAGAACGTATAATGTGTCACGGGTAAACTCACAGTGACAGAGGTGTGGCAGAAAAGCTGGATAATAAAGACTGGAGATGATTTCCATTTCTGTTCTCATCAGGGTGGCCACAAAACCATAGCTGATCCCCAGGATAGACCAAGACAATCTGACTGGATACATATTCCAAAATTGTGCACTAGATGCCAAATGACCTTGTCAGGGGAGACATTTCCTCCAAATGACCAAGATGTTCACAGTTCTACTGATGATGGGAATCCCCAATCCTTTTCAAATAATTGTGGCATTCAGCAGGTTACTATTTTCTAGGAAAGAATGTGCATTTTATTCTTCCTTTAAATTTCTAAACAATGATGTAGATTTTATAAGGGGGGATTTTTAAGGAAAGAAAGTTGGGTTTTGATTGTTTGTTTGTTTTGGAAAGAAAGTTTCTTGACTGTACTGAATATAAAAATACTGTGTGGCAATGGACCATGTAGTTAGGTAGTTTCAGAATCCTTTCCAAGAATTGTAAATGTTATGACTTTATTTTGTAGGATCATGTTAACTTTTTTTAAATTGCATAGTGAGACTTTGGACTTCTTTCATTACAATTCAGCTAATTTAAAAGGGGACAATTATTCCTCTAGAATTGAGTCTTATTCCTGTTTCACAAATTTGGAACTAAAATTGACTTTTGAGATAACAAGGAAGAAACCACAGGCATCGAGATTTTTAATTATTTTTATTTGGCACCAACAATATATTAGGTTGTGGACATAATTTTTTAAATTAAATGTTGATAAAATGTGTGCATGTACATCTTAATTCTGGTTATTCTTCTGGTTTTTTTAGCTAACATAACACTTCTTGGTCCCAATTTTCTCATCATTTAGAAATAATTAATTAGCCACTTAAGGTCTGAAAAAAGTAACCCTCTTTTTCTCAGATTTCTGGGTTTTGAATGACCTGTAGGCCCTGCCTGAAGATAAAGTTGGTGAAAGTTAGAGCTGGGGGTTTCCTACATAGGTACTTATCAGTCTTCTCCTAAACTACAGTCTGCCTTTGGATAGCTCTAATAATTAATTTGGTCTTCTCTGTTTCTTCTCCCTTCCCCCCTCCCTTCTCCCTGTCTGTTCACAGGTTATCTTGACGAATCAAATTACAACCCATCTGAGCAAAGCCCTTGCTTCTCAGGCAGACCTGGTGTCTCCGGCTGATGATTTGTCCCTGTCTGAAGGTAAGGTATCTGTCCTGGAGAGGCTGAAACTTGACACTGACAAACATCCCACAGCCTCCCTGCCTCCTGTTGAGAGTTTGGAGACATGGCTAATGGGTGCTGGCCAGTGAAGCCAGCTGAAGCCTGGCGATTTAGGTTTAGCCACATTTCTAGGTATCTGATTGTTTGTATTTGGAGTCTCTGCCCCCACCTCTGTAGTGAGCTCCTTTTTTCACTTGAGTGAATCATCTTCACAGGTATCCATCATCTCCATCTGGAGGCTGATGGTTCTTCTGTGGATTGTCTCAGATCCTTAGGAGGTCTGGCAAACTGATAAATGATTTTGATTCTGAGACCCACACTCAAAGGTCCACTTTACTAACGGCCCCATAGCAATTTAGCCTTTTGTTTGTCTTGAGTACTTTTGGCCTGGCTAAAAGTATAGAGCAGTTTCTTATGCCATACATGTAGGATTCCTGATTAACTTTACAGGAAGCTTAAGAAAAATCTCTACAGTGGTAAACCTGAAAAATTTTCTGCTAGCAAAGGTCAGGCTGGCTATATATTTGATGGGAATGAGCTTTAAGTAGCTAGAGGAATTACATCAGCAAGCCAGATAGTAGTTTCTAGTTTTATTGAATGTTCTTACTTGACATTTCTGACTTCTAGTCAAAGTTGAATTTCAGGCACAATGTTGTAGGCCTGGGTAGATGTGCAGAGCTCTTATGGGTCCTTCTTCCCTTTCCACTTTCTGAGAATTTTTCATAATGGACTACAGGGGACTTTTAGGCCTAGCAAGGTTCCTGACTGCCCAGGTGGTCTTCTGTGGATGGGCCTTGGTTTATGATCTCAGAAACTGCAAGAACATCATTCCTGCTTCTTGCTGATGTCTTTCATGGTGAAAACTAATAGCATATTTATAAAATATAAATTTATAAAAGCTATAAAATGCTTTCTACTTTTAGTAATACATTATCATTCTCTTGCCATCTGGGCTGAAAATCTGAATCATCCAGAATTCTTCTTCCCTCAAATACTTTTCATCATCCTCTTTAGCTTTTCTATCCAAATATATCTTTCCTCCCTTTTAAAAATAATTTATGTTGTGAACAACTGGCTTATTAAACTCATGATTGGATTATTTTTTAATCCAAAAGAGTTTGCCAATTCTAGTCTCTACCATTTTCATTCTGCTGCTACCAAATTAAACTTCCCCAATCTGATATCTTTCTACCATGTCTTTTTCCTACTTAGAAAGCCAGGAATTGTCTTTTCTGAGAATGGACAAAATAAGTAAGTCAATTTAAAATTATTCAGGGATTTGGGATTTGTTGTAATCATCAGGGTAGAAGTATTTATACCACGAGAGTCAATAAATACAAAAACTCCTATGTTTTCTCTTCTGAGTGGACCAGTTTCCAGAGCACCACTAGATGAAATTAATGCTTCTTAGCCTTTAGTGTCTGTCCTTTCCTTCTTGTTCAGCCCCAGTTCCCACCAATTCCTTATGGGGCACTCCTGTGCTCCTGGTGCTGATTTTTAGCTGACCCTTCCCACAAAGGTTCCACACCTTTGCAGAGATCACTCTCCCTATCTAGAGTAGCATTTCCCTATTTCCCTTGTTCACTTCTCTCATTTCTTCTCTTCCCAAATTCATTCCTTCAAGGCTTCAAGACTGCCTCTTGCAGAGTCTTCTTGCTTGTACAGCTGGTCTCACTACTTTCTTCTTCTCTGCTTCTCTCTCTACTTGTTCAGCTGTATGAGGATAAGGCCTAGAAAAATGACTTTAACTTTTCATGCTTTTCTGACCAAACTGGCAGATTTTTAAGGAAAAAGACTGTGTCATGTTCTTTTTGTATGTGTGTGATGTCCCAATTCCTAGCAAAGTTCTAGGCATACTGAAAGCAGTAAATAGATGCTCAGTGAATATCATAGTAAATACTTTGAAAGAACCATGAGAATCACATAAAACACCTGAGAATGGCATTAAAATTTATTATGATTACACACACACACACACACTTGTGCACACTTGTTCCATTCTGAGGAGACCTGAAGAGAGTGTCTTGCTTCCTCATTTGAAAATCAGTTATAGCACTTTTCTTTATCTTGGCTTCCTGGTTTATCTTGTGAAAAGAAGAGGAGCAAAACAGACAAAAGAAATGGCTTTGTACTTGAGTGTGACTGCTATAAGAAGATGATGAAGTATTACTAGCAGAGGGAGAATTACCAGCACATCCTTAGGCAACATGCCCTTATGAAATCCAAGGGAGAAAGGAAACAATTGGGTTTTGTTGTTGTTGTTTGTTTTTAGCTCTTGTTCTTATATAGTTGAACAGATAAAGAGGATATAGAAATATTTTTTCTAGGATCTATAATGAAGCTACTTACTAGTGAATTAAAATGAACAAATTTCTTACAACATTTATATCTACTTAACTATTGCACTAGTTAAGTTCATATATATATATATATGTATATATATGTACATATATATAGAGAGATGTGTATTTATATGACATATATCTATCATATAAAATATAAATTGCTTTGTTTTTTTCAAGCATTTATTGTATCCGCTTAGCATTTGTGTTAAGTGACCTGATCTCAGGCATGTTTTTAAATCACTTTGGGCCACAGGTTGGATGAATAAATGATTGCTCAAGTCTTTTCCTCCTGTAACATTATCAGATAGTGAGGTGAGTCTGCAGATCAAGAGTATCTACCCATGGATGGGGTATAGTTCTGATTTAGAGAGTACTATAATAGATTTCAGCTGCAGAGCAGAGGATCTGCTTAAGCAGTACACCCTTGAAAACAGTTGTAGGGTGAGAACAAGCGGCAAGAGCAGTAAAAGGATCTGAGTTGACCTAAGGAGAGTACCCAGCAGGAGCTGATTCAGGGAATGAAGTTCCTTCTGCTCTGACGCAGAGGAGGGAATACAAGTGACCTGGTCCAACTGAGAGATCCTTCTACCCCAGCAGATCCTGTGCTATTAATATCTGCCAGCTGCAGGACCAGAGCATCCCCCTGCTGAGATCAAAGGAGCCCCTATCTTAGCTGGAACAAGGTCATCTGCACAGGGCTGTAAAAGTGAACCCTGGCTGGCTACAGGGCCGTCTATGAGGGAGGAGAAGTCAGGAGATGGGGAGGTGCTCTCTCATGCTCCTTTAATCTCAGCTGACCAGCTGTTGCCCTCCCAGTGTTTGTAAAGTTGAAAGTTCTTTGTTTTTGTTTTGCTCCCCCACCCCACACCCTTATTAAAATTGTGACTGGGTTGTAGCTTGGATTAAGTAGACCCAGTATTCACTGCTTAAGTCTATGGTATGATTTCCTTCATTTAGGTTCAGTTCCACTGTTGAATTATCCAGCTCCCAGGTGGGAGAGCTACAGAAGGGAGAAGACCTCAAAGGCAAAGGACTTCCTCCATGTTTTTCCTGCCCCAGAGCTTGTGACTTGAGAAGAATTAAAGGGGCAAATTGAATTTTCCCTATTTAGTTAAAATAATTCTTCATTTATGCTGTATGCTTATAAGTTTGTAGCCTTTTATTTACAAACTTTCTCATTTATTTAGAATAATGGAACTTCTAGGACTAATGCAAACTGACCAAAGTCCCCCCATCCCAAGTGTGTTTCTCACACTAGTTTGCATACAATTCTGGTTGTTTATGTTGGAGAGAGGCAGAGAGAACAAGAGATAGACTGACAAGACCAGAAATGTATAGAGTAAGAAACAGACAGTAGTACATGAAGTTATAGATATGCCAAAAGTATCAATGCTAGAACTTCTGAAGATCCTGTTAATTGTATTTGTTTAAACTAGGACAATATCAGCCACAAGGTTATTCTTCCCACTCTATAAATCAGAGTTAAAATTTCATTCATGGGTGGATGCTCCTGATTTTCAGATCCACCTTATGAACTTATAATGTCAAAGCTGGCAAAAACTAGGAATGTTCTGTTCATCCAACTTATCATTTAACAGGAGAGATGGGGCCAAAATAAGGATTTGGGGTTTCATATTTTATATTGTTCTAGACCAGACACTGTTATTCAAACTATTTTCTTCTTCAGTTTTTGTTTTGTTGGCAGAAACTCCAGCATGGAGTTATTATGGTTATCATGGAGTTATTGGGTTATCATGGAGCTCAGTGACTGTAACTGTTTTGTTTTTTAGCCCTTGCCAGCTCTTTCTTGTGATCACAGAAAATACTAAGGACAGTCAAATCTCAGTCATAAGGAATCTCTCTCTGTTCCCTATAGTGGTCAGTAAAGAAAAGATCTAAAAGTCAAGCTGGCCTAAGAGGGCATATCCTATTCTGAAGTTGCCTGGGATTTGAGAACTGGCTGAGTCTCCATCTACCAGGCACAGTTAGTAAGATTGTAGCAAGTTACAATCTTGCACAGATTGTAGCTCTACTCAATCTAGACATTTAATTTTCTTCTGATGCTTTAGCAGAGTAGCAGTTACTTCAGTGTGGTGACATGGCCCACTTCAGGAGTTCCAGGTGGCTTCATAGGAAGGAAGATGTTATTAGGCTGCCATCCTGGCATTCCCAGCACCTGGCACGTTGGTATCTTCCTATCTGCATTAATAGGTTTTGACAGATTATAGTACATGAAAACTAAAAGTACATGGAAGGGTCAGGGAAAGAACACAAGAAAAAAGCAGTGCTTACTAGAACCAAAAGTGGTTTCTAGTTTTAGTGCTGGGAGCCTTTCTATTCTGGTTGGAGTCAGGAGTTGATGGACTGATTTCATGTGCAAGAGAAAGTATTTTGGGATTCAAATTCCCTAACAAACCATCCCTGCAAGAAGCTGGAGTCCATTTGAAAGATTATATGCAAGTGTGTGGCTTGTGTCTCTTTTAAAATAAATTCAGCAAGCAAGCACAGCTCAGAATGGTTGGGGTGAATGGGGGACCTATGGTTGTGAAAGAAGCAGACTTCAAAGCATGGTATGAATTTCCAAGTTTTATTTCCACTCTTGCTTTCCAGCTGGATCTGCTCTGGATTTACTGC